TTACAGGTGTGTGTGTCACCACGCCCAGTTCTGGGCCAGCACTGCATGCCCGGGGTTCTAGGGCCGGCACAGCATACGGCATTGGTACTGGGGATCGAGCCTGGGTCCTCAAGCTTGCCAGGCAGGTGCTTAGACCGCTGAGCTGTCTCCCCAGCCAGCTTTGGTTTTGTGAGAAAAAGCCTCCCCATGAAGCCCAGGCTGCCTCCGACTTGTGGAGATCCTCCTGCCCCAGGGTGTGCATGCTGGGACCACAGGCGTGCACCCCGTTTATAATTGTGCCTTCCCTGAATGGGGACGGGGTCTCACGGTTGGTCTGGGAAGCCAAGCTTCCTCTCCCGCCTGTCCCTGCCACATGCTGTACCTGCTGTTCACCTGGGACACCAGGGCAGCCGCAGCCTCGGGGATCAGATCCCTGTCCTTGTGGTCTGGAAACCTCGCATCTACGTAGCTTCTTGAAAGCTCAAGGCTTGAGAGAGGGATGGTGACTTGCCGCAGAGGCTGAGCCTCGAAGCCCTACCCCTTAGCTAGGCACGGTGGCGCACACCCGTAATCCCAGCATTTGGGAGGCTGAGGCAGGAGGATCATTGTGAGTTCCAGACCAGCCTGGGCTACAAAGTGAGCTCAAGGCCAGCCTGAGCTGCATAGCAAGACCCTGTCTCAAAAAGACAACAAAGCAAAGCATGTTTTGGGGAGGGTTTTTTTGGTGCAGGGAGTGAGTTCAGGGCCTTGGGCATCCAGGGCAAGAGCGCTACCACTGAGCCACATCCCAAGCCCCTTTTCTTTTTTGAGACTGGGTCTCACTATGAGGTTGAGGTTGGCCTTAAGCTCACCAGGTAGCCCAGGCTGTTTTTGAACTCACAGTAATCCTCCGGCCTCAGCCTCTGCAGCGCTGGGATGACAGACGTGTGCCACGGTCCCCAGCTGGGGACGGAGGAGACGCAGTGTGTTTGATCACAGCTGTCCACCTTTGCAGCCCTTTCTCACCTTGCCCTTGTCTGCTAACAGTCTCCCTTCCACCTCTGGCTATCTCTTCCTTTTTTATGCATTTGAATCAGGGTCTCACGACACGGCCCGGACTCCAGTGACCCTCCTGGTTTCAGCTTCCCCAGCCCTGGGTTTACAGGCCTGTATGCTCCACATCTCAGGGAGAGCAGCGATGCCGTATCTGTCCCTCTATGTCTGGCTGATGTGGCCACGTGAAACGTTCTTTAGTTCCCACCCTTAGTTCCATTCTTCTGCCAATAATCATCCCATTATTTATATGGTGAATAATACTCCATTGTGTGCAGTATATGCTGTAGTTTATTTTCTTTACTGATTCTTCCTCCTCCTCCTCCTGCTCCTCCTCCTGCTCCTTCTCCTCCTGCTCCTCCTCCTCCTCCTCCTCTTGCTCCTCCTCCTCCTCCTGCTCCTCCTTCTCCTCCTTCAGTACCAGGGTTGAACTCAGGACCTCATGTCCTGCTTCTGCCTTTGAGCTCTATCCCCAGCCTCCTTACCGATTCTTCTGTTGCCAGTTGCCAGGCTGGGCCCCCGTCTTGGCTATACTACACACTGTGTGTAATAACTGCAGGTGTGTAATGTGTACACACTGCTGATTCTTAGGGCTTGTTTGAGACAGGGCCCCAACCTCGCAGAGCTCCTCCTGCCTCAGCCTTCTGAACGCAGGATTGCGGGCACGCATCACCACATCTGGCTATCAGTTCTTTTTTTGTTGTTGTCTGTTGACTTTTTATTTATTAATTTTTTTTAACTTAAAAAGGATTTTTTGCGGGGGTGGGCTGGCTCAGGCTGCTTTAAGGGCGATTCTGGTGCGGCACGTGGAGCTGGGGATCGAACCGCTGAGTTTGCCCAAGCAAGCACTTTAAACAACTGAGCTAGGGCCAGGGAGATGGCTCAGTAGAATAAGTGCTTTCCTGGCAAGTGCAAGGGTCTGAGTTCAATTCCGGTTCCGTGAGGGAAAAAAAAAAAAAATTGGAGGGAATCACATGCATTCAAGAAAACAGAAATTCAGTTACTTACATAGTCATCCTCCATCCGATCACAGATTAGAGATGACAGTGTATAAACAACTGAGCTAGCCAGCAAGGCCCCTATTAATTTTTATTTTTTTGGCAGCACCGGGAACTGAACTCAGACCCTCGCACTTGCCAGGCAAGCGCTTATTCTACTGAGCTATCTCCCCGGCCCCTCTGCTTTCCTACGGGCCATGGGAGTGGGCTAGATGTTGGCTGTAAGGATATGCCATGTCGGGGCTGGTGAGATGGCTCAGTGGTCTAAAGCACCTACTTAGAACAAGCTTAGCAACGCAAAGGGACCGCGGTTCAATCCCCCAGCACCACATGCTGGCCACACACACACACACACACACACACACACACACACACAAATAAATTAAAAAAAAAGGATATGCCGTCTAGGAGCCAGGAATAGTGGCATGTGCCAGTAACCGCAGCACTTGGGAGACTGAGGCAGGAGGATTTCTGCCAGTTCAAGGCCAGCTATCCAGTGAGCTCAAAGCCAGCCTGGACTTCGTAGTGAGACCCTGTCTCCAACAGTGTCCAGATGAGGGGACATTCTGAATTATCCAGGGGGATTCGAAATCTAAGAGTAATATTCTAACAGGAGACATGTATGTGAGAACTGGCCGGGGCTGAAAACCAGAGACAGAGCTTGGAGTATGAGGGGCATGAAACATGGAGCATAGACACAGACAGACAGACGGACGGACAGACGGACGACAGAGACCAGAGGGCAGGAGGGCCAGGGGCCCAGGCCCTCTAGAAGCTTCGGAGTTCTGCTGCTCCTTGGTTCCAGGCTCATGGCCTTTGGAAGCAGGAGGCTCGAAGTTTTTCTTCCATCCTAGGCCAAGATGGCACCAGTGGGCCCCGGCAGCCCCATGGTCCTCTCTGGGTGACGACTTCCTCCCAGGGCACCCACCAAGCTTTCAGAGACGACGTGACAGCTGGCCTTCCAGTCACCTGCTTCGGTTTTGGGGAGGGCGTGCAGATGACAGCGGAAAGAGCGGGTCCTCTGAAGACACTCACGGGCCACCGGAGCCGGGTGGTGCACTGACCTTGGTGCTCTGCGGAAGGCCGAGAGCCCTGAAGTCTGAGAATGTGGGCCACGATGTCCCTTCTGAATGAAGCTGTTAGTCTGCTGGGGCACAAGGGACCCGCAGTGGGGTGTAAAAGACCTGAGCCTTTTGAGGGTAGAGAAAGCAGGTCCCCTGCCCCACCCCATCTCTCTCTCTCTCTCTCTCTCTCTCTCTCTCTCTCTCTCTCTCTGAACAGCAAGCAGCTTCCAAGTAGTTCTATGGCTCGAACCTGACGGGCGTGGCTCGGACCCGGCCTCTGCACAGGTGCGCCGGCCGCCGAGTGCCGCGCTGGCCTTGCCTCGTTGCCCCACCAGTCTGCAAAACCAGATCCCTCGCCACAAGCCCAGCAGCCAGGAAGCCAGGTGTGGCCCTCAGGAGGGGAGACAGGCCACCCCAGCCCTGGAAACCACGCCGCCCCAGACTCCGCTATGTACCGCCTCCACACCCCACTCCTCCCAAGAGTGCTTTACCTCTTCCTCTTACATTACCCCCATAAGATTTTTTTTTTTTTTTTTTGGAACTGGGGATTGAACTCAGGACCTTGCGCTTGACAGGCAAGCGCCTACTCTACTGAGCTATCTCCCCAGTCCCATAAGTTTATTTTTTTGCTTTGGACTGGTCCCTCCTCCTCCTCCTCCTCCTCCTCCTTCTTTTTCTTCTTCTTCTTCTTTGGACTGCTCCCTCCTCCTCCTTCTTCTCCTTCTTCTTCTTCTCTTCTTCTTCTTCCTTTTTCTTCTTCTTCTTCTTCTCTTCCTCCTCCTCCTCCTCCTCCTCCTCCTTTTTTTCTTTTTCTTCTTGTGAAACAAAGTTTCGCTGTGTAGTTCAGGCTGGCTCCAAACTAGGAGCAATCCTCCTGCCTCAGCCTCCCAAGGGCTGGCATTTGGTTTTCTGTTTTGACCTTTCTTCCTCTTTCTGTGTTAGAGAGAAAAGCCCAGCTAGGGTGAACCTGGTGACCCCTAGGCCTCAGGCCCAACAAAGGGAACATGGTATGTGGTGCACGGGTTTGACCCCAGGTACCACATGCCATGCCGGCCCTTCCAGGTGTGGTGGCGGATGCCTGTAATCCCTGCACTGGGGAGGTTAAGACTAGAGCTCAGAGCCTCCCCGCTGGAGTAGGCATCTGCTAGTCTGCTTTGCTCTGATGTGGGAGGGCCTCATCAGTATTCATACATGCATGAATAAAATCTTGAAATGGGATGAAAGTAGGGAAAAACCTGTGCAATGCTGTATGATATACAATATAGTAGACCTCTTGCCGGGTGCAGTGGCACATGCCTGTAATCCCAGCACTTGGGAGGCTGAGGCAGGAGGGTCGCTGTGAATTTGAGGCCAGCATGGGCTACGAGGCGAGTTGAAGACCAGCCTGGACTACAGAACCAGACCCTGTCTTGAAAAGAAAAAAAAAGGAAAGAAAAAAAGAATACAGACCCTTGTAATACACTGTGACTAGTAGGGTGTCACCCTTGTCAGTAACCTCACAATAAATTATTACACCCAAGGGATTCTTCGGGAGCCCTGGTCCAAGCCCGTGGTCATAGCACGGAAGGCCCAGGGCTTGCAGATGGGGGCAGTTACGTGAGGCTGAGCCCAGAACCTGTAGCTCGGGACACTAACTCTGGGTGGTGTTGGGATGGAAGGGGACCCTGGAATACCCAGCATCCAGAGTGTCAGAAACTTGGCTTCTGAAAAAATAAAACCCACCTATTTGGGTGTCAGAAGTGCTGGGAGTGAAGAAGAGGCTGTCATCTGCCTGCCTGGTGATGGGCGCCCCCACCCCTCTGTCTCAGGGGTCGGCCAGATGGCTGTTCCGTTGTACTCCCTGGACCCCCAGCGATTCAGGGGCAGCATGGTGAAGTGGACTCCCTTGGAGGCCCTGCTCCTGGCAGCCCTCGGGCACACTGGGTCCTTCGCCTTATGGAGCAGGCCGCAAGTCTCTCCTCGGGATGAATAACTCTGGCTCCTTATTTGCTTTCCTTGTCCTTTGTATGCCTGCCAAAATCAGCCTGTATGTGATGAATGGGCCATTCACCACTGTGCCCAGAGGTCCCCGCACCTCCCAGACCAAGGACTGGCCTGTGCATGCCTGGGGGACAGTGCCATCCAGGACAAGCTCCAGGGCTCAGCTGCTACTTGTACGAAATGGGGGGGGGAATCTCACGGCCCCTGGGGGTGCTTTTATTTAAAATCAACTTGAGAGGAGTGGCAGGAACTCCTTCTTCCAGAATAAGAGCTTTAAGGAGTTAACTGGGATGAGGAAGTTCAGGGCCAGCTTTCTCAGCAGTCTGCGGTCACTGGTCCGTCTTGGGTTTGCACAAGGTCTCCTATTCAGGAGGCTAAACACTTGCAGATCCGGTGAGCTCTGTAAACGGATTTCACAGGTTTCACGACTACAGGGCACAGAAGAATGTGGGCTCTAGACTCCGGCAAAGTGCCCCTGGCTTCTCCGCGGGTCCACACTAACTCATGGCGCACAGGCGATGCCCCAGAACATGGACCTGGAGACTCAAGAGTGCAGGGCTCAAGGCTGTGCCCGTGACTCACTGCAAATGTTTGTCTTGGGCCTGGGTCCAAGCTAGGGAGGGGTCCAGTCCCCAGGAGTGGGGTGCAGCACGTGTGTAGGCAGCCGCGGGGCTCCCTGGGGTGCTTGCAGGGACCTGAGTGCTACTATGGGGTGGGCCAAGGAGTGAGTGAGGCAGGCTGGGGTGGAGACGCTGCTACACAGGCCCCAGGTCCTCTTGGCAGCCGGCAGCCTCTGAGGAGCTCCCGGAAGTGGAGGTGGGCAGCCCTAGCCGGCTGGAGTTCTCAGATTTCCATCGGAGAAGGAAACTTAGGACCTCAGGAAAGAGGGAGAAAAAGGACTCTTAGGCAGGATTTTGAAAGTACTTACTGTACACATTCAGTGGAACTGCATGGAGGCCCTCAGGAGGGAGAGAGGTGTGCTATTTGGCTGGGAGCTGGGGATATGTACTGGGGTCTAGCGGTGGAGATCTGTGGAATTCGTGAATCTGTGGAAAGAGGAGTTCCCATAGATGGATGAAAAGCAACCACCCCTTCACAGGTGGTAGGGTGGCAGCCCACGCAGAAGACAAAGGACCATTTTATTATTATTATTATTTTTTTTTGGCAGAACCGAGGATTGAACCCAGGTACTTGTGCTTGCCAGGGAAATGCTTATTCCACTGAGCCATATCCCTGGCCTCCCATTTTATTATTTAAAAAAAAAATCTGAAAAAATATATATCTGGCTGAGGAGGTAGCTTGGCAGTCTAAGTGCCTACCTGGCAAGCACAAGTACCTGGGTTCAATTCCAGGAACCACATGCCATGCTGGCCCTTCCAGGTGTGGTGGTGGATGCCTGTAATCCCTGCACTGGGAGGCTGACTAGAGGATCACTACAAGTCTGAGCTGTGTAGTGAGACCCTGTAAAAATAAATATCTTTTTAAATTAAAAAACTTAAGAAAAAATTAAATCTATCGGTCTGTCTGTCTGTCTATCATCTCTTTGAGACAGGGCCTTGCTACGCAGTTCAGACTGGCCTTGAGCTTACTTTTGTAGCCCAGGCTGGTCTCACAAACTCAGAGATCCGAGTGCTGGGGTCACAGGCATGTGCCACCATACGCGGCTACTCCTGCTTTTTTTTTTGGGGGGGAATGGGGGATTGAACTCAGATCCTTGCCTTTGCAAGTCAAGCGCTTATCCTAGTGAGTCATCTCCCCGGCCCCTTACTCTTGCTTTTAATGGTTCAATTTTTAAAGTTACAATTGCCCTTGTCGCCTTCCTACCTACATATTTCTTATACCCTACTTCAGCATGAAGCCCAGCCAAGGTCCTCCTGGGCAGCCTCCAGCTGACACCCAGCCCCGTGTGGTCACAGGTCCAGGCGAGCCAGGCCTGATGCCAGCACAATAAACACCTCTGCCCTGTGCAGGTCCAGGATGGGGGGAGCAGGGGGCGCCTTGAGCTCTCCTGCCGCTCCCGCCGGGTCCCCTCCGCCCCTCCAGCTCCTCGGCCCCCTCCCTCCTCGGCGCAGCCTCCCCAGCTTCCGCGGCCTGGAAGGTGACTGCCGCGCAGCCCTGTTTCCCCAGCGCAGGCCCCGCCCCGCCGAGCTGGGCGCCCGGGACCGCAGCGACGCGGTGAGTAGGGTGCCGGGCAGGAAGGCCCGGGACGGCGCCGGGGTCCCGAATCCGACCTTCCCGCCTCCTTCCCGGCCCCACGGTTCCCTGTGGGCCGCAGAGCTAGCTTCACTACGGAGCCTGACCAGCCCTGAGAGCGGCGCAGCGCCCCACCCATCTTGCAGACATGGGGCGCGGAGCTCCCAGACCCCGGGTCCCCTCCCCACCCCCCCCCGCCCCCCGTAGCCCGCTGGGCGAGCAAGCAAGAGCTCTTTTCCGCCACAAACCCGGTGTCTGAACACTGGGTCTCTGCAACCCGGACTAGCTTGAGTATCGTGTAGAATCTGGGACCCCAATTACAGTACCCCAAGCCCCGACTGTTCCGACCTCGTGGACAGCGCGATCCGAGGCCCAGGGCTGGACGCCAGGCCGCACCCCACGATCGGGGCTGGAGGAGACAGGCCCATCCCCCACCCGTAACGCAGGAATGGGGCCTGGTTCTGGGGACCAGGAGCTTGGGATGCTGGCTCAGAGCTCCTAAGGTAAAGCCCAGGATCGGTACCCCAAACACTACAGGGGAAAGAGATCTTGGCCCACAGACCCTGTTACACTGGGCGTCCTTAGTTCCCCGACCAGCGGCGCCCCAGGGGCCTGGAATGTCGTCATCTCGGAGGAGTCGGAGACTGAGGCAGACCCGGCGGGTGGGGGCAGCGAACGAAGGAGAACCTCCAGCGCGGTCGGTGTGGTCAGGGCCGGGGGTGGGGTGGGGTGGGGTGGCGGTGGGCTTGGTCCTGGAGTCCATCAACACGCGGGTTTCCATGGCAACGGCCTTCCCAGCCCAGCTGGGAGACGGATTTAGGTGCAGTGTCGTGGAGGGCATCCCCTCGGAGCCCCCCTCCTCCAGCTGTTGTATCTTCCTGTTTTGTTACCACAGTAACGATGACCTCAGCCCGCCACCTCCCCCCAACCCCCCGGGCGGGTGGTACTCCCAGCCTCAAGTCTTCCGAAGGGGTGTGACCTGCAGTGGCTCCGCCCCTCAAGGACTGGGGGCTACCGGGGGTGTCCCTGTCCACAGCCCGCGTCCCAGCCTGGCCCCGCCCCGCTCCGCCCCGCCCCCGCGCGTTCTCGGTCCGCACCCCACCCGGCCAACCCCACCCAGCCGCAGACCCTTGCGGTCCGCAGCTGTCGCCTTTGCTTTAGTCGTAGCAGCCGCTCGCTGGAGAGGTGAGGCTGGGGGATCCCGACCCCTGGGGCGGTGGTCCAGGATCTTGGGGTTCAGCCGAGGACGAGCATGCGATGCCGAATATGGGTCCTTAGAAAGACAGGCTGGGCCAGGATGTCTGGGTTCTGGGGAGCAGATGGCAGGGACCTGAGTTCAAACTGGTCACGCGTCGAAAAGCGGGGTTTGGGTCCAGACTTGGGGTTGAAGTGGAAAAGAGAGCCACTAAATCCGGGTTGCAGGGGCTTGGGCAGAGGTATTCCAGAGTGGAGGAGCCTGGCGCTGGTAACTCTTGTGTTTAAGAAGAGTGGCTGGAGTTTGGAATTTATTTTGTCTTGAGACAAGGTTTCCCTAAAGTGGTTCAGGCTAGTCTCAACTCGCTATGTAGCCCAAGCCAGCTTCGAACTCAGGGCGATTCTCCTGCCTCAGCCTTCCGAGTCCTGGGCCTATAGGAGTGTCCCGGGACTACAGGCATGCACTGCCGACCCCGGCTCCCGTTGGTTTTTGAGATGCCAAATCGCTGCGTAGTTCAGGTCTTGAATCTGCCCTGCAGCCCAGGCTGGCTGGGACATTCGGGTTCTCTCCTAGAAGGCGCGCCGCCACGCCCGAGGCTCGTTTTTGTCTTATTTTTAGTTGGCCGCTCCGGACCCGGTCCCCATCCGGAAGCCCGGGAGAACTCCCAAGTTTGGGCTCCTGGAAAGCGAAGGCTAGGACCCTGCAACCAGGCCGCTGGGTGGGGCGGTCCTGGGAGGCCAGACGGAGTCCAGCTGCGGAGCGCTGGGCGGCGGGGGCGGGGCGTCTGCAACCCAGGCAGGAGGTCCCGAGCGTGAGCGCCAGGCCTCGGTCCCCGCTGGGTCTGAGGCCGTGCATTCCTGAGCACTGACCTCAGGCGACTGAGGCCGGGGGGGGGGGTGGGCCCCTCCTCGGAAGCACCCCTTCTTCGCGCTGCTACCACCCGCCGACCTTCTCTTCCCGGACGCGCGCCTTCCGGTGTGCGCGGCGCGCCCTGCCCGGCGGGGACCTACACTGTGGCTCCACGTGGCTTCTCGGGGACACTAGGGAGTTCCCTGGGGCCTTGCCCTCGTCTCCAGAGCAGCCCGGGAGGCAGGGGTCCCCCCGACGCTTCCCCTAGGAGACCACCCACCCCATCCCACCCCACCCCCGTGCAGGACCCAAAACTCACTTTTTAGGGACTCGGAAGCCCGAGTTGCCATTGTCTCCCCTAACGCGGAGCCACGCTACTCCCCCCTTCCCAGAGGACTACACCCGGAGGGCGGAGGTCCTACTCCGCCCCCGGCGACCGAGCCACTCACGGCCTTATAAGGCGCGGACACGACGGTCCCGCCCAGGCTGCCCCGCTGGACCCTGGTGGACAGCGCGGCGCCCCGCCCTCTCACCGCCACCAAAGCTCCGCCCACGCGTATTGTGCAAGGGGCGGGGCGGCTCCACGCCGGTGTCACCCCCAGCCCCTGGGGATGGGGGCCCGGGGCCGAGTTTTGTCCCTGCCGGGAGGCACCAACTCACACAGCCTAGCGGCACGAACGCCAATGGCCGGAGGCCCGGAGGGAGGAGTCAGGTCTGAGCTGTGCTGGCCTCTCCCCCAGGTGCACCGCCTGCCTTTGTAGAGTGAGCCTGAGTCGTCTCCAGCGCCGGATCTTTCTCCTCCACTTGGCCCCCTAAAACCACTGGTGAGTGCGCTGGCTTTAGACCTCAGGTCTAAGGGGGGGGGCAGGTCCGGACCCCGGGTCTGGGGAAGGAGGTGGGCCAGAATCCCGGAGTCTGAGGTTCTAAGCACGGGCCGGACACACCGGTGTGCGAGCAAGGCGAGTGTCTGGCAGCTGGCCCTGTGGCCCCTGGGAACCGAACACTGCAGCAGTTAAAGATGGTCATTGCCTCGCAGTCTGTCTGGCCCCGAAGGAGAACTTTGATTTTTCCTGTGGCTAAGAGCTGCCTCATGATAGTTTCAGAGGTGTCAGTTCACTGATTAGAAATTTTGCACCCGGAGAAAGGATTTGGGCCTCTCCAAAGGTTTTAGAACGAGGAAGTGGTGGGGTTTGGGGTCAGAAGGAGAGAAACTAGATGATGGGCCTGGGCCTGCTGCACTGAGGTCTGATCCCGCGGCACCCAGCCCCCTCCCATGGAGAGGCCGCCTGTCAGGCACTAGGACTGGACTCAGAGTGCAGCCTTGGCGTCCAGTGCCCCATGCCCGAGCCTCGCTGGGCTCTGGGGTTGGCCTCTTCTCAGAAGATGATGAGGAGGAAGCATCAGGTCACTTGCAAAAGGGGGAAGTTTGTTCACAGGGCTCGAGAGCAAGAGCAGTCAGAACAGGTTGGGCTGAGTCTCCAGGGAAGGCAGGTAGGAGGATAGCTTTGGACTTCCAGAGCAGGGAGAAGGAGAAAACCAGGGACCCGGAATCCTGGGTTCTGACATAGGTGGGCACAGATGAGCCTGGGTCTGGGGTGACCCACTCTGTTGTGTGTGTGTCTGAGACTGACCCCATTTGCACATGGAAAGCCCCACAGCCTGGGAACTCCCAGTCCAAAGCCCGAGGTAGAAGTGGTTATTTTTGTTTAGTTTTCTGAGCCAGGGTCTCCCTCTGCAGTTCAAGCTGGTTCTGAACTCACTAGCCCAGGCTGGCCCAGGATTTAGAATGGTACTCCCATCTCAGCCTACGAAGCACTCTGCAGGCTGTGCCACCACTCCCAGTTTTGGAGCCCACTGTAGTTAGCCCTGAGACCCTGTCTTTTGCCTTTGCCAGCCATGCCTGTGACAGTGACCCGCACAACCATCACGACCACGTCGTCGTCGTCCTCGACAGTTGTGGGTTCTCCTCGGGCCCTGACACAGCCCCTGGGCCTGCTCCGCCTCCTGCAGCTGGTGTCCACCTGCATAGCCTTCTCGCTGGTGGCCAGCGTGGGTGCCTACACGGGGCCCATGGGCCACTGGTCCATGTTCACCTGGTGCTTCTGCTTCGCCGTGACCCTTGTCATCCTGCTGGTGGAGCTGGGTGGGCTGCAGGCACATTTCCCCCTGTCCTGGCGGAACTTCCCCATCACCTACGCCTGCTATGCCGCACTCTTCTGCCTGACGACCTCCATCATCTACCCAACCACCTTTGTGCAGTTCATGGCTCACGGCCGCTCCCGTGACCATGCCATCGCGGCCACCACCTTCTCCTGCGTCGCGTGTGTGGCCTATGCCACCGAAGTAGCCTGGACCCGGGCACGGCCCGGTGAGATCACGGGCTACATGGCCACTGTGCCCGGGCTGCTCAAGGTGCTGGAGACCTTCATAGCCTGCGTCATCTTTGTTTTCATCGGCAACCCCGACCTGTACCAGGGTGTGCCGGCCCTGGAGTGCTGCGTGGCGGTGTACGCCATCTGCTTCATCCTGGCGGCGGTGGCCATCCTGCTGAACCTGGGCGACTGCACCAACGTGCTGCCCATCGCCTTCCCCAGCTTCTTGTCGGGCCTGGCCCTGATCTCTGTCCTCCTATACGCCGTCGCCCTGGTCCTCTGGCCCCTCTACCAGTTCGATCAGAGGTACGGCGGCCACCCCCGCCGGGCGTGGGATGTTGCCTGCAGCTACAGACATACCCACTCCGTGTGCAACTGGGACCGCAGGCTGGCGGTGGCCGTCCTCACGGGCATCAACCTGCTGGCATACCTGGCCGACCTGGCGCACTCTGCCCGCCTGGTGTTTGTCAAGGTCTAGGGCTCACTTGGCTTCCTCCCCAGGTCCTCTGTCCAACCCTTTCACTCTGAGTTTCCAGCACTGAGACCTCATTTCCTCTTCCTCTCCTCCCATCCGTTCCTCATCCACTTCCTGCTTCTTGTCTCCCCTCCTCTCCTCTCTCACCTCCTTCCCTTCCTAGTGGCTTGGGGACCCATGTCCTGCCTTGCCCCTCAGCTGTCTCTCCTGACGCCGCTCCTTCCTGCCTTCTATTTCTCTACTCCAGTCCGATCTCCCCACTGGTTTCTCATCTGCCTGTGTCCCAGTGTGAGCCCTGAGCCCCTCCCTGTCTCCCACCTCACCTTCGAAGGTGCTGAGCTCCACACAACCACACTTTCTCTGCAGCTGTTCATGCCGTGGCCTCCAGAGGGGCCTCATTGCCAAAGCATGCCCGCCCACCCTCGCTGTGCCTTAGTCGTGTAAATGTGCTGTGTTTGGGGAGGGGGGTGGCTAGGGACCTGGTCTTCTTTCCCCTAGTGGAGGATGCTGTACAATGCACCTCCCCTTCATGAGACGAAAACAGTTCTCTGGAGGTCAACCATTCTGGGGGGGCGGGACGCTTTAAGCACAGATTCTGGGTTCTGGACCCACCTGGCCCCAAGCCCTGCCTGATACTGGCTCCAGAATTTTTGCCAGGCTTATGAAAAACTCACTGCCTAGAGGCCATCTTGGAGGAAACAAGAGGTGGCTGTCTTTCATCCCAGCTGTCCTTTGTGCTACTAGCAAGAAAAAAAAAACCAAAAACCAAACCAAAACATTAGCCTTGCTGACCAAGGTCTGAAGTATTCAAGAGGGGCAGGAACATGGCCCTCCTGCCTGAGTGTTAAAAATAACGTGGCCCTGTTTGGCAGGGGTGAAGGAAAATGGCCACTGCCAGAGTGAAAGACCGTTGCCTGGCTTTTTCTTTTTTCCAGGTCATAGGGGCAGAAATTCCCAGGTGGCCCTGCTTGGGGGGTGGGGAGTTCTTTGCAATTTTTTTTGCTTTTGGGTGGGGGGAGGTTACTGCCGCCATGGCCAGAGGAATGGCATTGTGTGTGTGCACTGCACACACGTGTGTGTCCGTGTGCTAGTCGCTTCTTGCTGCTGCTTCCTGCTTCTCTGGGACTCATGCATACCGTGATATATAAAAATGTATAAATATATATTTTATTATTTTTTTTAATTCCGTGGAGCTTTTGGTTCCCATAGCTCCTGTTGCCAGTCATAGAAGTCTTGTCTCCCCTACCTGCACATTCACAATGTTTTTTTTTTTTTAATCTTGACATAAAGATAACAAAGAAGACTTGCGTTGTTTTGATTTTTGTTTTAATCACTGGGGAGGTTTCTAGGGGAGTGGTGAGGTCCAGGTTCCTCAGTCTGATGGAGGAGGACCTGGGACCAAGACAACCTTGGCCTCCGCAGAAAATAGGAATAGAGCCAACACCCAGAAGTGTGTGGAACACACATGTAATCCCAGCACTCAGGACAGTGAGACAGCAGGATACCTGTTGAGTTCAAGCCCAGCCTAAACTACACAGTGAGTCTCTGTCTCAAAAAAAAAAAAGAAAGAAAGAAAAAGAAAATACTGGCAAAGTCCTGGTTTTCTAAATTACTCCTTCAAATGCCAGGCACAGAGGCACATGCCTATAATCCTCACTACTGGGGAGGCTAAGGCAGGAGGATGGTTGTGAGTTCGAAACAGCCTGGGCTAAAAAGTGAGCTCAAGGCAAGCCAGAGCTGCACGCCAGACCCTGACTCAAACAGAAGAGTGAACTCAACACTTGCTCCAACCTTCTTCACTGTCCTCAATCAGTCGCTCATCAACCACTGTTATTTCTTCTAAATATAATTTATGGCCCTTCTTCCAGTCTCAGTCCGGCTCAAGTCCCCTTCTGTTTTACCTGAGCCGCTGCCTCAGCCTCTTCCTTGACCGACCTATTTCCAGCCTGCCCCCGCCCCCAGGGAAATTTCCACATTGGTCTGATCCTGCTTCCCTGCACCCCTAAGCTTTATGCCCCCCTATTTCACAGGACCTATAGCGTCCTCCAAACCTCTTCAGAGCAGCGGAAAGCCTTCTTGGGCGGCTGGTTATGAACTGTGGGCATGTCGACTGTAGCTGGCCCAGGTGCTTGAAGTCCCCCTTGCACTAGATGTCCCGAAGAAAATCCTTTCGCCTGGGGGATGGCAAGTCCCGGCCCAGCTTGGGCGACTTAACAAGGCCATGTCTTACAATGTTAAAATAGCACTGAGATGTTGCTCAGTGCAAAGGCCCTGGGCTCAATCCCGGTACAGCGTACATCCCTTGGAAGGGCCAGCCCGGACAGACTCCTTTGGGGTAAGGGCCGCCTTTCCTCCGCAGTCGCCCCTCGGGATCCCCGGTGCTGGGTCGCCCCTGGAAAGTTGCGGAAGAGCCGCGCTGGAACTCGGGGTGACAGTCACGTACAGAACTCTGGAAGCCGGGGCGGAAGCGGGAACTCGGGTTAACCTTGGGTCAGACCTGGACGCGCCCGCAATCCCCCCACAGCGGCTGCTCTGCACACCCAGACCCTGCCCCCTCGCGCAGCATGCCGGGAGAGGGAGTTCCCGAGCGCACTCCGAGTGTGGCCGGAGCCCGGCCAGGACTACAAAACCCAGGATGCACTGCGGCTCAGGCCGGCCAGGTTGCTGCAGCAACAACTAGTTCCCCCCCCCACCCTAGCCGGAATCGGGCGGGACTGGGGCGGGGCGGAGCGCGAAGTAGGCGGGGCGGATGGGGGAAACCCGGTACCAAGGGGCGAATTTGGGAGATAGAGTCTTGGGGAGATACAGGGGCGAGATCCTAGCCAGCTAGGGGGAGACACTAGGAGGAAGGGAGAGATGCAGAATTCAGAGAGGCACCCCCAGTGGCAGCGAGGCCGAGCGGGCGGACAGCGACCCAGGGTCACAACAGAGAGAGTGACAGGAACGACCCAGGCAGAAGGAGACAGATGGGGGATTCCAAGGCGGACACGACACGGAGGCACGGGAGAGGGGAGGGGAGGGGAGGGGAAGGCAGGGACATCAAACCCAGTGAGATGGAGACGCGCAGCAAGCGAACAGCCAGGGGAATTCCGGGGTGCAGAGCGAGGAAGAGAGGCTGACTTCGAGGAACAGACACCGTGCAAGAGGCAGCCAGCCCCAGGAGGAGGCGCAGCGGTGCAGACTACGAGGGAGCACCGAGCCACCCTGAACCACTGGGTCCTCGGTGCCGAGCAGAAAGTTTGTTGAGGCCAGGCGTGATGGCGCACGCCTGTCATCCCAGCACTCGGGAGGCTGAGGCAGGAAGATCGTTGCAGGTTAGAGGCCAGGCTAGGTTGCACAGCGAGACCCTGTCTCAAAATGACAAAAGCAAAAAAGAAAAGGGAATGAAAGTTTGTTGAATGATGCAGTGATGCGGTCAGACCGAGATGCGAGTGGGGACACAAAGCAGACAGTATGCTCCAAGCCACACACACAGCAGGCGGGGGGAATGGGGTGGGGTGGGGTGGGGCCCGGGCTCCATGGGTGTCCGCTCCCTGCAGCCACTCCCGGAGTGGGTGTGTGCACGTGCGGGGGCGGGGCCTTCGTCCCTTGTCTCGGGGAGGGGGTGCTTTAAGAGAAACCCCGCCCCGCGGTCGTCGTGGCGACGCCTCCCCCCAGCCGGGGCTCCCACATTTGAGCAGGTGCCGAGCCAGCGCCCGCCGCCCGCGCCTCCGGCTGCCCGCGCCCCAGCAGGAAGGCAAGGTCCCCACCGCGCTCCGGGCCATGGCCGGCCTGGGCCCCGGCGGAGGTGACTCCGAGGGGGGACCCCGACCCCTGTTCTGCAGAAAGGGGGCCCTGAGGCAGAAGGTGGTCCACGAGGTCAAAAGCCACAAGTTCACCGCCCGCTTCTTCAAGCAGCCGACCTTCTGTAGCCACTGCACCGACTTCATCTGGTGAGGAGAGCAGGACTGCAGGGAGGGGCCGGGGCAGAGACCTGCACCCCGGGATCCCCGGGGCCGTGGCCCCACTCTGGCTCCGGGATGGGGGACGCCTGTCTGGGTCAGAGAGGTGGAGGGACTAGGGCTTGCGGAGGAGGGAACGGGATGCAGACTGGAGCAGAGGCTGCAGCTGGACTCTAGGTTCCAGGGTGGGGAAGGCGGGGCTGGACCCCCAGGTTAGAAGCTAGAGAACCTAGCTCCTGCACTCCAGGCTCCGGGGGCTGGAGGGGCAGAGGGCCAGAATTCAAGGCTCTTGAAAACGAAAGGTGGTTGGGGCTGAGGCCCCAGGCCCTGCCTGCGAGGGTGAGGGTCAGAGGCCGTAGACCTTGTGCCCCAGGAAAGCAGAGGCGGCAGAGGTGGGAGGGGCCAGGAGGCCCTTTCTGCACTGACCTCAGATCCTTGCTGGACTCTTCCAGGGGTATTGGAAAACAGGGCCTGCAATGTCAAGGTAAGAGCTGAATCCAGGACCCCTGGGACCCCCAAAGGTAGAGGCAGGGGCCCCAGGCTGAGGCTGGCGACACACGTGTTCGCGGTCCCCAGAGAGGAGCGGGGGAGCCCAGGGCGGGGGGTGTGGCAGAAACACAGCCCTTGGCGGGGAGGGAGCTGGATGGTGGGGCCATCCGCGGAGGTGGTGCCGAGGCCCCTCCCTCGGCCGGCTCCAGGTGGGGACAGATATTTGGAGAATCTGTTGCCATGGGAACAGGGAGATTTGGAAAAGGGGGAGCTGAAAGGGGGGGAAGGGGCCGGAGATGCAAAGTCAGAGCCCCCCCAGGCTGCGGTCGTCATGACAACACCATCCATCCCAGGCAGGGGCAGGCCGGGTGGGGTCACTGTGATGGGCGGGCGAGGAAGGGGGGCGAGTCCTAAAGTGCCAGCTGCCACTTGCTGAGAACAGTGAGTCAGGGTGGGGGCGGCCGGTGCGGCCCCCAGACTCACTTCTGTCCAGTGCCTGGCTCCGCACTGCCGGTGCATCTGTGTCTCCTCTATTCAAACCTGTCTCTTCTTCCCTTCTTTGTTTGCTCTGTCTGTGGGTCCATGGGATCTTTGTCTGTCTGTCTGTCTGTCTGTCTGTCTGTCTGTCTGTCTGTCTGTCTCCCTTGGGCTGTGTGTGGTCGTGGCTCTGTTTCTCTGACTAAACACGTCTCTATCTTTCCATTTCTTGGGTTTCTCTTGTCTGTCGTCTCTGCCCCTCCACATGGGGATCTCCCCTCTGACTTTCTCTCTGCTGCATTCTATTTGTTGGGAGCCACCCCCATTTTCTCTAGGTCTTTATCTTTCTCTCTTTTCGATTTTGTATCTGTGGGGGCCTCTCTGGATTTATCCCTGTCCCTGTCTGTCTCTGTGTCTCTGTGATTTTCTCCTTCAGTCTGCAGCTTTGTGGTTCATCGGCGATGCCACGAATTCGTGACCTTCGAGTGTCCAGGCGCTGGGAAGGGCCCCCAGACAGACGTGAGTGCCCGGACACCTGCTTCCTCAGGCCGCACCCCGCCCTCACCCCCTGGGCGACCGTCCCAATTTCTCCTGCTATTTTTAAGGCTGGGAGGGGAGGAGGGCTGGAGAGATGGGGGAGCTCGGCTGGCCCAGATTCCTCGCCCTTGGCCTGGAAAGGGGGACCAGAGGGGCCTGGGACAGGGCAGGAATGCAGGTGGGACACAGAGGAGGCTGGGGGACAAGAACCAGGACCGCAAGAGTCGGGTGCCGCTTAGGGGGTGAGAGCTAAGGGAACTGAGGCCTGAGGGGCAGGGAGAACTAGAGCTGGCATGGCGTCCTAAGATGAGAG